CCTAACATTTTGAAATATATTTCTAATTTTTGACCAAATGGGGTTTTAAGAGGAGTGTGGGGCCCATCATCCTCGCGTCGACCTCTTCATTGTCTTTATGGAATGAATGATAAAAGAGGACATCTCACGTGGACTCTGCAGCCACAACGACTCTCTCCAACCATATCTTCATATATATACATATATATATATGTATTATTAACCCCATTTTTATATTTTCTCTTATATATATGTATATATATATATCTACCATATATTAAAGACGACGTTGTACAATTTCATCTCATTTTTTTTATAAAAAAAATTTGGTTATAGATTTCATCTCATTTATTAACGCAACGTTCAGATTTTTTTCCTTTTTTAACTAGTCGTGAAAAATCATTTTCATTGTACGGTGAATATTGTTGTCCATTTTACGGTGGCCTTTTTGTTGTACATAAGGAATAGATAGAGAGAGAATCAAAAGAATAAGAAATTGTATAATTCTCTAATTCTTGTCGAAAACGAAAACCACTAATGATGTTTAAAAAGGTTGACATGTTACTTAAGCGAAATTGGCATAAGAAATACTTTTGCTAGAGTTTTTAGTAAGTTTTTTTTGGTCGAGTTTTTAGTAAGTAGTGATTAGAAAATTCTTCCTCGAAAAAAAAAACCCATGGACATGGAACATGGTGTCAAAATCTAAGACGGCTTAAGTAGCTATAACGGATTGATGATTGTCACAGATCGAATTGACGTTGAAAGTTTCAAGTTTACGGATAAATTCAAAACATAATAGCTAGTAGTTGCTAATTTATCAATCCATTTGCGTTGAAAAAATTATACTTTTATTTTCTACAACTAATAAATGGTACTCCCATTTGTTGACGTCTCTCTTTGTTTTTATTATTGTGCGAGAGATGAAGCATATAAAAAGAAGCAATGAAACATTAAAAAAAAAAAAAAAAAAAAAAAAGAAGAAGATGCAATGAGAGTTTTTATTTTTCCTTTTAAGTTCTATATTTATTAAAAAATGTTTTCTAAAGCTCACCCATATAATTCTCACTCATGATCTTTGGTTTCTTTAAGCTTTTCTTCCCATTCCCTCTCTCTCTTATCCTCTCCTTCTCACTCAATTCCTTTTCCTCTTGTGAAAAAAAATCACAAATAAAAACCAAAGTAAAACCAAAACCCTAATTTATAAATATAAAATTGTTCCCCACTTATATATGCAAAAGCCAACATCTACTGTCTTAAATGTCATAATGGACGGTGGAGACAGCGTCGGAGGAGGAGGAGGAGACGATCACCACCGTCACCTCCACCACCATCATCGCCCTACTTTCCCTTTCCAACTCCTCGGAAAACGAGATCCCGACGACAATCAACAACAACAACAACCTTCTCCCTCCTCCTCCTCCTCTCTCTTCTCCCTCCATCAACACCAACAATTATCCCAATCGCAACCGCAACAGCAATCACAGCAAAAGCCACAACCGCAGACAACACAGAAAGAGTTACAGATAACGCAAGAGGAATCTGCGGTAGTAGCGGCTAAAAAGCCGCCGTTGAAACGAGCGTCGACGAAAGACAGACACACGAAAGTAGACGGAAGAGGGCGGAGGATAAGGATGCCAGCTTTATGCGCAGCTAGGGTTTTCCAGCTAACGAGAGAGCTCGGCCACAAATCCGACGGAGAAACAATCGAATGGCTTCTCCAACAAGCTGAGCCGTCAGTAATCGCCGCCACCGGAACAGGAACAATCCCGGCGAACTTCACTTCCCTAAACATCTCTCTCCGCTCTTCAGGCTCCTCCATGTCTCTCCCTTCTCATTTCCGTAACGCCGCTTCCACTTTTAGCCCTAACAACATCTTCTCTCCATCGTTACTTCAACAACAACAACAACAACAACAAAGAAGTGGGTTTCATCACCATCACCATCCTCTACAGGGACGTGCAACGACGTCGTCTCTGTTTCCCGGAATCGATAACTTCACTCCAACGACGTCGTTTTTGAACTTCCATAATCCGACAAAGCAAGAAGGAGATCAAGATTCGGAAGAGTTAAACTCTGAGAAGAAACGTAGACTCCAAACGACGTCGGATTTGCACCAACACCAACAACACGATCAAATCGGAGGCTACACTCTTCAATCTAGCAACAGTGGTTCAACCGCTACAACCGCGCAAATACCAGGAAATTTCTGGATGGTTGCGGCTGCGGCTGGTGGTGGTGGTAATAACCAAACAGGAGGAGGTGCTGTCGGTAGCGGCGGAGGCGGCGGCGGTGGAGAGCCAGTTTGGACGTTTCCTTCGATTAATACCGCTGCTGCTGCGTTATACAGAAGTAGCGTTTCGGGCGTTTCAGGCGGCGCGGTATCGAGCGGTTTACATTTTATGAATTTCGCTGCTCCAATGGCATTTCTTTCTGGACAACAGCTAGCAACCAGTAGTAATCATGAGATTAACGAAGATAATAATAATAATGAAGGAGGAAGAAATGACGGTGGTGATCATCATAATACACAGAGACATCATCATCATCACCACCATCATCAACAACAACAACAACATCATAATATTCTCTCCGGGATAAATCAGTACGGACGGCAAGTTTCCGGCGAATCTCAGGCTAGTGATTCACTTGGAGGCGGTGAGGAGGATCCGCAAGATTAGTCACAAACAATTTAATCTTGGATTCGTCGGCGGCGACCGCGTTCGGCGGCTGTGTAATACTTTTGTTTCGCCGTTAATTCTTATTTTGTTTTCTGTAGTACATTTTTTTTTTGCTAAGTAAAAAACAAAAATACGTGAGAACGTGAGATTTTTTTAATTTTGATTTTTTTTTTTACTTTGATTTAAATTTGAGTTTTTCTTGTGAGTGAGTGATTAAATAGTACACGAGATTTTCTGTCAGGTTTTTTTGGATTTTGAGGAGAATATGACACTTTTTTATCATTATTATTTTTAATGGCCCTATTAGTGTCACTGTCTCGATTCTCAATCATTTTGGTTTTCTTTATCCATTAAGAAATTTTAATTATGCATAAAGAAAAGTTTTGCGTTCGCCAAACAATTCTTGTTCCTCTCTACAGACTCCAATGAAACACTAATATATACATCAAAAGTGTAACATGTTTCAATTTTATTGTGTTAAAACAAAAGTGTCATGATTTGAGAAATTTTATTTATTAAGGAACGAGATGGGCCTCTCTCTTGTCTTGGCCCACCAAAATCTCTTTCTCACTCGGCCCTTGAAGTTGTTGTTTCTAAACGAATAGAGAACAGCAAAGTGTCTCGTTTGTTTTACATGGTCGAACGAAAACGATACAAAAAACATAAAAATATCTCGATTGATCTTATATGCTAGGAAATTTATTTAAATCTTTTTTTTAGTATATGCTTCATTTTATATTTAGTTCTTTGTCGATTGTCCCCACTGAAAACGTCGATCTTATTTTCGTATATAATGTTCAAATATTCAAAAATTGAGACTAATTTAGGCTATTTATCTGATTTAAACTCATTGAAAGACTTGTTCGACGTAAAATATGGTCTACAACTTTCTTTTGAATTTAGCAAACGTTACGAACTTACAAGGTACAAATAAAAGATTGATTGTTTCAATATGTTCTTTTTGTATTTCTTACCTTTAAAACGTACCGTAATATTTTACTTTTTAAGATGAAAAAATTATATTTGAAAAAAACATTTTTACCTTTTTTAACCGAGCGACTTTTGAAAATTTAGTTATTAATTTACTCTACGGTTTAAAAATATATATTTGCATGGGTTTTATAAGTTTACAAAAAAGGAGGAGACAACAAAAATAAAAATTGATGTGAATCAATATTATTGCGGACTATATATAATAGTTTAACATTGAATGTGTAATAAAGAAACATTTATACAAATTCAATAAGTAGAGAGAGAGAGATTGATTGTGGTGGTGACATGAGGACTGTAGTGTTGTAAGAGCGTGGGACCCGAAACGTTATCAGGTGCAGTGATTGTCGTGTGGACCCTACTCCATCTGATTATCTCTCTCTCCGTAACCATCGTTTCATTTTTTTTTCTCACTGACACAAATTCTTTTTCTTTGAGTCTTTTCTTTTCACCTTTTGTAATAATCTAATTAAACAGTAGAAACTTCGAACATTTTTTTAAAAAAAAACTTCCAACATTATTTGTTTGTAGATATTTATAAATTTTTAAATTCTCGCACATTATCATAATGAAATTGCAAAATCCGATCTAATGTTTTATATTCGTAAATTGATTAACGGATGGCATGCTAGTTATTATATTTAGTCAGCTATGCATTGAGCATGTAAATTTATGATTAGTCAGGTGTGAATTGATAAATAGTTTCTTTTTCAGTTTTTCTATTATATTTAGTATTTTTTACATATGTTTTGTTTAGTTTTTTTCACAAATATACATTTTTTTTTGTATTTTGATAATAGTTTTTATTTAATAATCATGGAGAGTTCAGATGTTTAATTAATGGTATAAAGTTACGTTGTTCCAAAAAAAAAAAAGATCATGAATTTTTTAAATTCTTGTTAAACCACATGATTTAATTTCTGAACCATATGATAAAACAATATATACATATAACGACTAATAAAACCAAATTATCTACAATCCAATCCAACGCAACAAGTCAACTGATTTTTAGAAGAGAGATTCAAACAATTAAAATAGTATTGTTTGGGGTAAGTTTTAGAGCACCTGTGCCTACTAGATTCGAATGCCATCGTACGGAAACGTAAAAAAAATTGGTCCCCATAGTAAAATTACATTAAAGTAGCAATGTACGATTAAAAGTGTCAACTATCAACTAGTCACGGGGTCAAATGTAACCCATGTGTTTGTTTGGTTTTTTTTAAATATACTACACATTTGTAACGAATATATAAATGTCCTACAAATATATTTACTTTATACTAGTGGGTACTATTATTATTTTTAGTTTTTTACATTCAGGCCTTGATCTGTAAAGTTTTCCTCTCAAAAGGTGAGTATTATGTTACATTTTGATGTCATATCATGTGATTTGAGCAGTGAGGAGGACTCCTAAAACACTTAAATTTAGTTACAATGATTTTTTTATCACTTCATATAGAAAAAAAAGAAACCATTATAGAAAATCAAATCCTATCAACTATATACACTAATTGCAAATTTGATCAAACAGAGATTGCATCCTAAACTGGAACTTTTTTTTTTGCAAAGTAACTTTCGGCTTCATTGCTATTGTTACATTTGACCATAAAGAAGATAAAATAATACGGAAAAAAGTGATGCGTTTGCCTCTATAGTTCTACATCTATGACATCGAAAAGAAGACTTACTACTTGGGCAAGATCTACTTTCTTCACTTTCCGTGGGGAGTTTTGGCAAAGTCATGACCGAGAAGTCCAAGCTTTGCGCATCTTCTGGGAAAGATACATTGTTGCATTAATAGCTCCAGCAGCCAAGAAACCAGACACAGCCTGTCTTGCGCTTGAAACCATTACCCTTCGCTTCATTACCTTCTCCATACATTTCGCTGCTTCTTCTCTTGAACCTATACAAACTTCTCCCAATACTCTACCTGTTCATATGCATACCACTTCAACCATCAATAACCATCTCTCAATTTCTTCTCAAAGGATCCAATTATAATTAAGAGAGAGTGATCAGAGTTGATACCGGTCTCACTCAGGGTCTTCTTTTCCCCAAGTAACTTTCCCATTTGGGTTCTTACTGATGCGGGAAGAGAAGAAACCAGAGAGCGTGATGCTGAAAGGCTAGAGTCCTGTATCCACAAGTTGGTAAGGATCAAGATCAGAACAATGACTAAAACAATCTCAAGATTGAGCCAATATCTATGGAGCTATAAACTGTGTATATACCTGAACTAATCTAGCTTGACTAGCTTCAGCAGATGAGAATCTCAGCAACTGTTTCGTCTCGTACTCTTCAAGAAAAGGCTTATACATTGACTGGAAAAGATCAAACTGTCCCTTCACAATCTTGCTCACCTACAAGGCAAGAGATTGAACTTATGGATCAAAAAGCTTCTCACACAAAGAAAGGTAAAATATTTACATGTCTGATAACAATCTTCGCTATGTGATGTACACAAGAACAGGACTTGGGATCTCTCACCTTATTGGTGTCCTCTGCGAAAAACATGCGCAAGTCGCCCATGTAAGAAAGGCTGCATATTTTGGCGTATAGATCTTCCTGCATAATAGTTGTGTGACTTATATAGTGTAGAGTCTCATGGAAACTTTCGAAATTTATGAGCACTGAAGAGAAACCCAACCTCGGTGAATTTTGATGGCAAGAGAAGAAGCGCTGCAGATACTGCGGCTCTCTTATTAACCGAATTCACATCTTCTATGTCTAGATTATCAACAAGCAAATGAACCTGCAACCAAAGGCACTTCCTTAAAACATCTCACAATCCATGGTTATCATAAAGCAGACCAAGCAAGTGACATACAGGTTTTTGTAAACGGCCACTCAAGTAGAATCTGTCCCAGTCCAGTATGTCCTGTACTAGGTCATTCATTCGAACAACCCCATACTTTAGCTTCTGCAAAGAGCTTCACAAGGAAAGTAAATCATGCAAGAAAAAAGTGGCTTTAAAATTACATACAATATGATCAACCTGAGCAGAATTCAAACATATAAAACATAGAAATACAAGCTCGGATTATCAAAACTAGAAGTTCTTACCCTGTCGTTCCAATTGACAAATGGATTGAAGTGAACTCCAACTCCAATATTATCTGCAACTTTCGTAATCTGTTCCAGGAAAGTAAAACAAAGTGTGTTCAGTGTTTAATTAAGCCATATAAGCAACGCAAGCGTATGTGATATCAAGAGAAATATACCAGCTTGGCTCCACCAAGGTGAACCATCCATGAAGCATAGTGATCTGAATTCATTTTCAGATTCTTGATAACACAATGACAAACAATAATTAGGATCCATGAGCTTAAATAGCTTCTAATCGAACGATTTAAAAATAAAAAGTTTGTCACTTTCTTTTAGAGACTCACCTCAGAGTGCCATTGCATGGGATCAGAGACTCCAAGGATATAGTCCACCATTTTAGACTGCAAGACCAAAGGTCCCATTTTTGACGGCAAATTAGCGAGATGATCAGAAAACCTGAATGCTCTCATACACGGGAGAGTTCCAAGAGGAGACAAATATACCTTATCTTGGTTATTTGGGTGCAATGTTGAACCATAAACACAACAGAAATCCACAGTGGGAAGAACATTTAAGAAGCTTGCAAGCTCATCTCTTTGAGTAGTTTCCATTCCAACAGAGGGCCTTTGTGATAAATGAAATTCATAATCAATGAACAATCTTTTTTTACAGCTTATTCGGTTCATAGAGGCAAATGATCGAACAAGTGGTGTACACAAAGCTAAATCGAAAGAAAAGCAAACAAGTGAAAAATCACATTACAAGCTCGATTATATATATATAGAGAGACAACATGCACATACACAGTTAAAGATGAGAGACGGAAATCAAGGTTTTTCGGAAGGAGAGAAATTGGGAAGAGAGAAGCTTATAAACTAACTTACTCGAACTCGTCTTCTTTGATATGCTCAGAAAAGAAAAACGACGACTCCGGTGGGCTACGTACCGGCGATTCTGAGAATTCGATTAAAAGGTTTTGTCAGATTTAGGGTTCAGTTTCGTCAAATTCGAATTGGGACAGTTATAAGAAAAACGACGTTGTTTAGATCAATAAGCGAAACGACGTCGTATGCGTTAATTACGCGAAACGGCGTCGCAGTGATGATAATGATAATGTGATGAACACGAGTTTGTGGGAGGCACACGCCAGCCGCGGCGGAAGACGAACGTAATCAACTCTCGACGGACCATTTTCATGCCTTTGTTATCCATCATGTGGACCCCACACGCCTCTTCGTTAATTTTTTAAAAGTCAAAACCGGCGTTATATATATATATATATATATTAATTCATTTTGAAAAAGATGTCCTTACAATTTGTTTTTCTCAGAACAAATGAATAAAATTAATTTTCTTCTTAATCTGTAGATAATTTTCATAAATATGCGCACACCAACAATGATGATCAATTCAAATTTGTACACTAAACAAACTTTTCCCAAAATAATAATAATAGCTTATTACCTGAATAAAAAAAAAAATCACTCCACTCGAATAAAAATTGAAGATACAATGACGTGTACATAAGCAATGAGCTAAGTGGCACGCAACGTTATAGAAAACGACAAAAGTGGAAAAGCGAAAGGCGCATGTCGAGCTCACGTGTCACATTTACACGCACCACTTCCTCTGTGCTCTCCACGCGCCTCCTTCTTTCCCCACACGCCCTCCTCTCTTATTTTATTTTTGTTTCCTCCAAAATTTTTTCACTTCTCAATTTCTCAAATCCCTCTCAGATTCTCGTAGTTTTTTTTTTTCCGAACCCTGATCGTCAACAAGTTTCGACGAAATTTCACCGGAGTTTTGAAATATCTTCTCACTACTTCCCGGAAAAAGGTAGATTTTCTGACTTGTGTGGCTTTTTGATTTAAGCTATGAAGTAATTCTTCACTGTTCTTGATTTGACAAAAGAATATGGTGATAAAGTGTGTTTCTGAGGAATCAAAAATCACACGAAAACCATTAGATTTCTTTAAAAAAGTTTTTGTTTTTTCTGCTCCCAAGTTTCTACGTTTCTTGGTGGGTTTGTGTTTTTGACATTAAGGGTTACTGGAATTGTCAGTTTCATTGGTATAAGAGTAGAATCATCAATTTTGTTTATGTTGAAATTCCAGGTGACTTGACAGAGAATCTGGTTCTAACTAAAGCTAGAAGATGGGATCGAAAACTCCTTCCACATCGACTGATGAAGCGAATGGTTCTGTAGATGAAAGGTGAGAGAGAGAGTTCTCATAGATGAAAAATGGATTGTTTCACTTAAAAGGTCTTTTTTTTTTTGTATTTAAAATTGTTCATTCTTTGGCTGCAACAACAGGTCCAGAAAAGGCAAAGTACCCAAAAGGATCAACAAGGCTGTTCGGGAGAGGCTTAAACGCGAGCAATTGAACGAGCTTTTCATTGAATTAGCTGATACCCTTGGTAAATTTCACATCTTTTAATCCAAGATTGTTGTTTATCCATAGATTTTGAATGAACAAATGGATCGAATTGGTCAAAATGATTGTGATAACCTAACCAGGAAAGTTTTTCTTTTTTTTCTCAGAACTGAATCAGCAGAACAGTGGGAAAGCTTCCATACTATGCGAAGCTACTCGGTTCTTGAAAGACGTGTTTGGTCAGATTGAGTCCCTTAGAAAGGAGCACACTTCTCTGCTCTCTGAATCTAACTATGTAAGCACCACTTACTTTATACACCCATTGTTTTGTGTTTATGTATCTTGTGACACAAATCAAGAAGCTATAATGTTTGCTCCAACGATCCATTGTGTGTGTAGGTAACTACAGAGAAGAATGAGCTAAAGGAAGAAACATCAGTGCTCGGGACCGAGATCTCGAAACTGCAAAAGGAGATTGAAGCAAGATCGAATCAGTCGAAACCTGACTTGAACACCTCCCCTGCACCTGAGTACCATCATCATCATCAACATCATCACTATCAACAACATCCCGAGCTTGCATCTCAGTTTTCAGGACTTCCCATTTTCCAAGGCGCTGGCTTTCAACAGTCTGCTGCAACTCCTCCTGGCGCCGCCACAGTTCTTGTCCTTCCGATGCTACCCGATCTCCACACGCATGATCCTTCAGACTTGACAGGGCGTGTCCAGACACAAGCGCCGATGATGATGTATAATAGCTCAAATGTGAGTAAGCCGTGTCCAAGGTACGCTAGCGCGGCTGACTCGTGGCCTTCTCGGCTACTTGGAGAGCGGCTGAGAGCTAGTGAATGAGTCTTGGGCGGCTCCACAAGGAGTAGTAGCAACGTGAGCTAACCGGGGTTAACCGGAAACAGAGAGAGGGCAACTTGTGAAGGACCCTGGTTCTGTATTTAGCATCTTCTAGTGTCCTTGTGGTATTGCATTTCTTGTTTTTGTGGTGGTTGTTCATAAGATGAGAAAGTTATGGCCCTTATGGGTCGTTTGAGAGAAATAAGGAAATTAGGTTTAACATTTTGTCATTTTGTTGTCATACTATAAGATACTGAAACAAAGTAACAAACCACAATAAGAGAGAGATACAAAAAGAAATATCAAATATCTTCTGCACTTCAATAATCAAAAGAAATGTAGCAAAGAGTAAAATGTGAAATTGGGTATAAAGAAAACCGGTCTAACAACTAGGTTCTGGTTTGGATTGGTTTGATTAACCGGATAAAGAAAATGATATATTGGTAAAAGAAGAGGGAGATAGAACATCTTATCTGCTATCGAGTGGGTAAGAAGAATCAGAAACAGAAAATGGCGAATTCACTATGCTTCTTCGCTTCTCCTCCTACCTTTTGCCTCCAATCTCCCAGCAAAAACCCTAAACCTACTCACTTCTTCTCAATCGGTGATAAGAACTCGTCGTTGGCTCAGAAGAGAGAAGTGTTTCATCAGACTTCCAAATCCAAAAGTTTTGAAATTCAGGTTAGACATGTTTTTTTTTCTTTCCGAAACTCTGTTCCTCTCTATCAAATCTTTTATATACCATTTCATAACTAAAAACCTCATCTTTTTGGAATAAACAATAGGCCACGAACGGAACTCAGACCACTAAATCGAACAGCATAGTTTGTCAAAACTGTGAAGGCAATGGTAAGTGCTTATAATCACTTTTAGTTTCTACAGATGAAGAATTGGTTTTAGTAGTAATCTGAACAAAGATTTTGTGTAAAAAATGTTCTGAAAGGTGCTGTGGCATGTTCTCAATGCAAAGGAGGTGGTGTGAATTTGACTGATCATTTTAATGGGCAGTTTAAAGCTGGTGGCCTCTGTTGGCTTTGCAGGTTTGCAACATCTTTCTTCTTCTTCCTTCTCTGTACAACAAATCTCTCTCTCTTCCTTCTCAAACAATCTAATTACTTGATATCCTTTTGTTTATTAATTTCTTGTGGGCAGAGGTAAGAAGGAGGTGTTGTGTGGGGACTGCAATGGAGCTGGTTTCCTTGGTGGTTTCTTGAGCACCTTTGATGAGTAACAGAGAAAAGCTTCTTCATAATGGGATTTTGTGCTACTATCAGAAGAAGAAAGTCTCTCTCTCTCTCTCTCTCTCTCTCTCCCTCTCTCTATCAATGCTCTTCTAAACCAGCATGTATTACTATTTGTTACTGAACATCATCTTTTATTGTATTGTTGTTATTTTTTTGAAGTTTCCTCCATCACTTTTCAGTATTCATGTTTTGGCCCTCCCTCATTTTTTCTCTCGAAATGACGATATGTCTATAAGATATATTTAGTTGGAAAAGTTGAAGTGATTTGGAGAAATACTAATCTGAAGTTGTTCTACATACATTGATCTTGGTAACAGAGTGTTTAGAACATCCTAGTAACTAACCCAACGATAAAAGTGTAAATTTATATGATTTCCCTTCTTATCTTCTTTTGGACATTTTTTCCCAAAGTGGTCTCATGTCAGGACCGACACTACATGGAGGAAGCATTAGTTCGATTCTTGGAAATTCTGTTACGGTTATGTCAACGCTCTAACTAAAGTTCATGTTTTTACAAGTACATAATCCATTACCGAATTAATGTTTGGTATGGAAAACAAGAGCCCCATTGCTAAAAGCAATACTGTATGTTTTCGTCGTTTCAAAATTTCATCGGAGGAATGATAGCAAAGCACAGATTTCATCGGTTCTTGTTGCTTATGTAACTAATTAGATTTTAATCATGGCTCATTGGCTCTTGTAAACTCGATGTGATATCAGTAAATTATTAAATTAAGTTTTAAAAGAATATGATAGTTTGGGTGAAATTAAAAATCGGCATTGATTTATTTTTCATCAGTTTGTGGAGTGTAAACCGGACCTGAAATTTTGAATTAAATAATAATAATAATTAATTTCAGTTTGTCGAAAAATGATTTCAGAAGATGCAGAAGAAAAAAAAAACTGTAAATAACAGATAAACGCATCTGAGACCAAACAAAAGGAGAATTTACACAGACCTTTTCTCTTACCTGTTGTTGTCGTCGTTGCTAGGTCACAATCTCCTTTGTTTTTTTCTTTTCTTCTCACGCTCTCCTTTTCACATCCTACCTAACGATCTCTGTGTGATCGTCGAGAAAGTCAAGCGAGAAACCTAGAAGAGGAAACCCCAGAAAGGGAGGGATTGGTGTAAATATAGCTCTCTCTCAACATCTGTTTGTTGACGTAATTTCAATTCGATTTTGTTTCGCTATAGAAAAACTATATCTGGAATTGTGGCGTGCGGACCAAGGAACTAGGTGCGTTTCTCTCTGATCTTTGTGATCATCAATTACGTCATTTTGTATTGCCGATTGATAAACGAGATTGTTGATTCCATCTTTGCTTCCTACTTGAGATTCCCTAAATGCAATTCCATAGGAGAAGAGAAGCAACACGTCCTGATGAAGTGATGAGATTTTCGATTCGAATGCTTTAGATTAAAACCAAAAATCCGAAAAGGGGGTTTTATTATATGGGGCGAGCATTGGAATCATCATCTGGTGCTCTCTGCTCTTGTAAATGGCTTCTTCTTTCCAGACAAGTGTTCCCACGGAGAGGGAGAATGAACAGGTTTGCTTTGAGTTTCTCTCTGTCTTCAAACATTCTCAAGTCAAGTGTGGTTCCTCCTCCATCTTATAAAATATTTGGATGCAGGCGATTGCAATTCTGAAGAAAGGGGCCTATCTTTTGAAATACGGCCGGCGAGGGAAACCTAAATTCTACCCTTTTCGGCTTTCAAGTGTAAACGAAGACATCTTTTAAATCTCTTCTTCACACAAATGCCAGAATCATTGTGATGTGTGAGATATTGTTTTTTTTTTCAAATGCAGGATGAAATGTATTTGTTATGGTACTGTGGGAAAAAGGAGAAACGTCTTAAACTGACTTCTGTGACAAGGATCATACCTGGACAGCGAACTGTAAGTTCAAATGCATAAAACCACTTCTCTTGCCACAGTTTTGATTCTAAACAAAACGAATGTTACTGTTAACAACTTTTCCAGTCAGTTTTCCGGCGATACCCTCAACCCACAAAGGAATATCAATCCTTTTCTCTCATATATGGCGACCGTTCTCTTGATTTGGTCAGTAACTTTTGCTCTCTACTACAGACATCAAGAGGTTCTTCCTACAGAGTAATAAGCCTGTATTGAACCTTGTGGATATAGGTATGCAAGGACAAAGATGAAGCTGAGTTCTGGATCACTACTCTTCGCGCTCTTCTCTCACGAAACAGCTCTTCTGCGTTGGTACTTCACTCAAGAAGCCGTAGCTTTGTTCCTGGAGAACAAAGTAATTCGAGCAAGAACTCCAAATCCAACATCAGATCCGTCAGCAGTGACACAAGCTGCGAGGTTTTTGTTGGTTTTGTTTCTTCAAGACTTGTTTTCTGCATAATATCCCAATCTCATCAGAAACTTTTTTCCAGGAACATGCGAAAAAGGCTTCAGGATCTCACTGCAACACAACTCCACAGAGACTTGGAAAAGTTTTCTCAGAGGTTTTGTCACAAACTGCAGTACTAAAGGCACTCTCTTTGGACGAACTCGTCCATAAACCACAAAGCTCGTCTCCAGAGATTTTAGAGAACCGACCTGCGGCTAATCACTCCCCTGCTGTTGATACGAGTAAATACAGCGTTTCGAGCGCCGTGAGCTCGTCTAGTCAAGGATCTACTTTTGAAGACTTGAAGTCTCTCTGTGATGTCTTCGTTTGGGGAGAAAGCATTGGAGATGGTATGCACAAAAGTGGAAGCAGTTCTTCTCTGGTGACTGAATCCTTTCTGCCCAAAGTCCTGAAATCACATGTGGCACTTGATGCACAGAGCATCTCCTGTGGCACAAATTACGCAGTGTTAGTCACAAAGCAGGGACAGATGTACAGCTGGGGAGAAGAATCTGGTGGCAGGTTAGGGCATGGGGCTTGCTCCTACGTTCCACATCCGAAACTAATAGATGAATTCGACGGATCATCGGTCGAAATAGCTGACTGTGGGGAGTTTCATACCTGTGCTGTAACAGCGTCTGGTGATTTATACGCTTGGGGAGATGGAACTCACAATGCAGGTCTCCTTGGACTTGGCAGTGAAGCTAGCAGTTGGAAACCGGTACGTATACTCGGTCAGATGGAGGGTATAAACGTAAAAACCATCTCTTGCGGGCCTTGGCATACAGCTTTTGTGACATCAGAAGGTAAGCTGTTTACATACGGTGATGGTACTTTCGGTGCGCTTGGACATGGTGATCGTGTGAGCACAAGCGTACCTAGAGAAGTCGAGGCACTAAGCGGCTGCAGAACAGTGAGGACAGCTTGTGGCGTTTGGCATTCGGCTGCTGTCGTCAGTGTTTCCGGCGAAGCCACGTCATCGGGGAAGCTCTTTACTTGGGGTGATGGAGAGGATGGGAAGCTAGGACACGGTGATAAAGAGTCTAGACTGATCCCATCTTGTGTAACTGAGCTGGACACAACTAGCTTTCAGCAAGTAGCTTGCGGCCAGAGCATCACCGTTACTCTCTCTACTTCCGGACAAGTTTACGCGATGGGAATCGCTGATCCGAGCCACGATGATGCTGTGAGAGCTCCTTTTTGCGTTGAAGGGAGTCTAGGGAAGAGCTTTGTGCAAGAAGTGGCTTGCGGGTTTCACCATATCGCGGTTTTGAACTCGAAAGCTGAGGTTTACACTTGGGGCAAAGGATCAAACGGACAGCTCGGGCACGGAGACACTGAGCACAGACGTATGCCGACTCTTGTGAGGGCTTTGAAAGGCAAACAAGTGAGGAAAGTGGTGTGTGGTTCGAATTACACAGCGACCATTTGCCTCCACAAACCGATTTCGGGCACAGATAGCTCTAGGTGCTCTTGTTGTCGCCATCCTTTTAACTACATGAGGAAGCTCCACAACTGTTACAACTGTGGAAGTGTCTTCTGTAACTCGTGCACTAGCAAGAAGTCTTTAGCAGCAGCCATGGCTCCAAAGACGAACAGGCCTTACCGTGTGTGCGACGACTGCTACATCAAACTCGAAGGAGTCAGAGAATCTTTAGGAACTCCGGCGAACAGTGCAAGATTCTCAAACGCGAGCCTTCCATCTAGCAGCAACGAGATGGACGAAATCGGGACAACCCCGCAGCGTCAGCTTCTTAGAGTGGATTCCTTTGATTTCTTCAGACAATGCAAGATCACTGATCTTAAAACCATTGGTGAAACCTCAGGAGCAAGCTGCATTTCGTCGAACCACTCGAGTATGGAGAACATCAAAGGTGCTTTTAACCTGAGAGGGATACGGAGACTCTCAAGGCTTACCTCTTTTGATTCGGTTAGTCAAGAACGCAGGCAACGCGCCAAGCATTGCGCTTCGAAATCAGACACATCCTCTCTTATAAGACACTCGGTGACTTCTGGTCTCCCGTTTTCTCGTAGAGGCTCTGTTGATATGTTTCCTTTGTCGATCAAATCAAGCCCGGTTGAATCTGTTGCGACCACTTCCGACTTCACCACCGACATTACAGATACGGAGTTGCTGCAAGAAGGGACAAAGAAATCGAATCAGTGCCTTAACCAGGAAATATCAGTACTCAAGGCACAGGTTAGTCCAACCATTTGAATCCAATGTAGTATTTAGTGAATTTCTCTGTAGATTGTGTATTTAAAAGGTGTTACTGCTTCAGGTGGAAGAGCTTACCCGAAGAACAAAAGAACTAGAAGCAGAACTTGGAACGAATTCGAAGAAGCTTGAAGTTGCGGTGTTAATGGCGCATGATGATGCAGAGAAGATCAAATCTTCAGAGGAGATCATTAGGTCCCTGACTCTGCAGGTACACACTTTTGTCTGAAATCATTTGCTCTCAAACATGTTTTCGAGCTATAGTAATGGAGAATTCAATGCTTCTTCTTCTTCCAGTTGATGGATGCGACCGAGAAAGATGTAGGCAAGACAATTAGACGCCGAAGCTCGTTTTGATTCTTAATTTTTTGATTAGAGAAGAGCCTCTACTTTGATCAAAGCAAAGAAAGGGGATGAAAAACTGAAGTAGATTGAGAAATATTGGGGTTGAAATGTACAATACGATACAGCTCTTATCAAATTACATACCATAAATAAATCAATGTAGTGTTTAATTACAGAGCAAAAACATAAAGTGTGAGTACAACATTCCAAATTGACAAACAGAGAAGAAGAAGAAGAAGAAGAAGAAAAAGTTCAGACCTTTTGATTTTGTGTGTGTGTTGGTTTAGTGAAAAATCAGCAGAAGCTTCTTCATTTCGCTAACAATGGCCAAGCTGATACTCATCAGCTGATTCGCCGTCGCCATCTCTTTCTTGATCTCGTTTCCCACGGTTGTTCCCATTTCTTCAAGCCCATCGGAGCAAGTCTCACCGTCAGTCATGGCGGCGCTGATCCACGTCTTGACATCTCCGACGACATCCTTCGTCAGCCAATTCCCTCCCTTCTTCTTCTCCGTCTCGATCTCTGACATCGCCTCCTTCAGTTGACTCAGCGCATCGGCGTATAGCTTCACGCAGTCGCCGACTGCCGCGTCCTCAGGCATATCGTTGATTGAACGGAAAGACACGGAGAGGCTTGATACGTTTTCAGAAGCGATTCGAATAGATAGCTCGAGGATCGATTCAGGGTCGAGTTTTCGATTCGATTCGAGGGAAGAAGATAGAGCGTCGAAGCAGGTCTCTGGGTAACGAGTCACGGCACAGGCTGCCTTGAGAGACTCGGAGGAGACGGGAGGAGGATGTTTGGAAGGACGAGTGAAGGCTCCGGCGGTTAAGGCGACGACGGCGAGGATCAAGAGGAGAGAAACGACGGAGACGGTGGCGATTAGGGTTTTACGGGAAGATGGTTTGGGGAGTGGAGAAGGAATCTGGTTTTCCTGGTCGGATACTTTTCCGTATCCTTTCAAGTTGTTGATCGACTCCATTGAAAGCAGCGATTTTGGTGGTTTCTATGATCGGAAATCGGAAGAAGATGAATCTGTGATTAGGAGAGAAAAAAAGAAAGTCAAACAAGAGAAAGTTGAATGAAGAAGAAAGCAATTCATATTCAGAAGCCCCGAACGAATCTCTGACTTCCACGTCATCTCTCTCTCTCTCAGAAAAAAAAATTCAAATATTTTGCTCCCACGCGCGTGGATAAGAGTTTATATAGTAGTAAAAAAAACTCCTTTTACCACTAAAGACATTTTATTGAAGTAAGTAAGTGAATTCAAAATGTAAAATCTTTATAGAAAGAAAGAAATATTAAAAATATATAGAAAGAAAGAAATATCAAAACAGATGAAGGTATAATTTTCTTTGACAATCAATGTGTAATTTTCTCTAGAGAAAATATATAAATTTCTCTAATATATATTTTTCGAATAAAATTAAAATTTGCAACCTTTCCAGTTGCCGCTGCCAGCGTGACCTCTCTCTCTCTCTCTCTACTTTTGTGTTTCCCTTTTCAGTCTCTTTCTCTCTCTCTCCGACCTTTTCTCAGCTTCAGTTTCTCTTCCTCACAAGCAAAGCCCAAAGCAGATCGAAATCGATTTTGAAGGAGATTTCTTGACGTATTCTACTGATTTTCCATCAATACTCAAAAACTTCTATCGCCGCTCTCGTTTCATCTGTTTTTCCAAGGGGAAATTAAAAACACAGGAAAGGGTTTAGCAAACTTGAAAATGGCGACGAACATCGGAATGATGGATAGTGCTTACTTCGTCGGAAGAAACGAGCTTCTCACTTGGATCAATGATCGCCTTCAGCTCAATCTCTCTCGCGTTGAAGAGGTATGTTGTTCGAATCTGCATGTGTTGGGCTTTCTCTGATTCTTCTGTGTGGCTACTTTTGCGAACAGGATTCAAATGCTTGTGCCTTTCTTTCAAGGGGTTTTTTTGTGTTCGTAATCTCGCTGAACAGGGACATTGATTCCTGCAATGGTTTTTTTTTTTTTAATAGTGATAGTGTTGATTTGGGTTATACTGAGAATAGTTGTTGATTTGGCTCGTTTGCTGGAAAATTGGGAGATTAGGGTTTCGAACTTGGAGAGAATTTGCAGATTTTGGGTTTGATTTGTTTCAATTTGGTAACAAAAGTTTAAGTATTATGATTACTGGAAGATGGTTATGAGATTGGGGCTAAGTTATAGTGTAGACAAGAGGAGAGAAACAAAGGGCTTTTATGATTTGGTATTGTATGATTGTTTGGATCTTTTGATTGTTCAAAGTTTGCAATGCCATTAGAGTCACTGTTGGTGTTAGAAAGATCTAAAAGAGACTGTGTTGTCTTTCTTCTAATTTAATTTTTTTGCTGGTTATTGTAGGCTGCATCTGGTGCTGTGCAATGTCAGATGCTTGATATGACATTTCCAGGAGTTGTACCAATGCACAAGGTGGTGATTTTTTACTTTTGTTGTTGATTATCATTTGCTCGTTAAGTCTGCTTCTTAGTGTGCATAATATGTTAATATCCTCCTCCTTTGCAAGGTTAATTTCGATGCCAAGAACGAATACGATATGATTCAAAACTACAAGGTCCTGCAAGATGTGTTCAACAAGCTGAAAATTACAAAGGTAAAAATTCAATCGTATATTCGTATGTATCTCAGATTTCTCAGCTTTCATGTAATTTATGGTCACTCACCTTGTTTGTTTGTCTCAACTGAGAAATTACCTCAGCCGTTGGAAATTAACAGGCTTGTCAAAGGCCGACCACTGGATAACTTGGAGTTTCTTCAATGGCTGAAACGCTTCTGCGATTCCATTAATGGTGGTATCATGAACGAGTATGTGTGTTTTTTTTTGCATCTGGTCAGATTTTTTTTTGGAATTGTTGTTACCTTTCCTTGTCTAAAAACTGATGGTTTTTCTTTATAGGAACTATAATCCTGTGGAACGAAGATCAAAAGGTGGTAAAGAGAGGAGTGTAAAGGGATCTAATAAGATGCCAAAGTCACTGCAAACAAACAACAATCATCCTCCACCCAATTCCAGTTCGGCTGGTCTTAGCAAAGCCACAGGTCTCTGCCTGACAAAAATCAGATTTTCTTTATCCAAACAATTAAAAGTATCGTTTGTTAACATCGTTGAAACCATAATTCTCAGGGGCCAAGCCAGCAAAAGCAGCTGAAGTGCAGGCTTTGTCTAAAGAGGTACGCTGCCACAGATCCTACTGATGTTTGATATAAGCTTCTTTCTTAGTTACTGAAACTTGATTATTCTCTTCTGCTTATAAATACAGCTTGCGGATCTCAAGCTCTCTGTTGATCTCTTGGAGAAAGAAAGAGACTTTTACTTCTCCAAGCTCCGGGATGTAGAGATACTTTGCCAAACTCCTGAAGTTGAGAATATTCCAGTAAGCGTTTCCGTAGAGCCCTTGTCTTCTCTTTCTTTTTTTTGTGTCTTAAACCAAGAAGAGGATAGAGAGCTCTTATCAATGAACTTCCACATCGGAACATCTTATTTCATTTAGTTTTTTCGCTTCATCTGAACTCAACTTTTGCAAATGATTATTGTGTTTGAATCTGATGTATACTTCTGTGGAACCCAGATAGTGGGAGCAGTGAAGAAGATACTGTATGCAACCGATGCAAATGAATCTGCACTAGAAGACGCTCAAGAGTTCTTAAACCAGTCCATAGGAGTTGAAGTTAAAGGTGAGGGAAATGGAGAAGAAGAAGAAGAAGAAGAAGAAGAAGAAGGAGAAAAGACTCAAGCCTGACCTGTGACTATTAACAATCCTAAGTAGAAGAAGTTTTCCAGAGTGGCGAACAATGGCTGGACTTGGCCTTCTCTTCAAAGTCTCCTTTGTTAAAAAGGAACTTACTGAAACTTGAAGATGAATGAGCTTCTGTTAAAAATGCTTAGTTTGAGAACAATGAGGCTTAGTTTTGTTACGTTTTAAAACCAAAACATTCAAGATGTTTTTTCTTGTTTTGAAAAAATCTGCGTTGGTCCCGAGTGAGAGAATCTTAAAAGCTTCTTCTATTTTTTTTATCACTATAAAATCTTGAATCAGTAAGGTAAAAGAAGATCCAAACAATACCAGGGATTGTTAGTAATATAATTTCATTTAAAAAATCCAGACTTGAGTTTTATAATCCACAAATAAATGAAATGATGTCGCCATCTTCCACATGGTAAGCTAGTTCTCTTCTGTCCCAATCTTTTGAGACCTCGTCTCCTCTTTCCCGAGCTTCAACAGCATCCTTAGAGATAACTTTGGATACACGTCAACTCCGTTCCTCATCTACCTTATAAGATTAAAGATTTTTGCTGCATTTCTTTGTCAACCTTGCAATAACAGACTGCAGTTTAACAGTGCAACATTCTCCAAGCTTCCATTGGGCTCCACATTTGTAGCAAAACGAATACCCACATCTTATCCATAAAATTAAAATATGTCAGTTAGGCGAAAATAAGATACTCAGAAGGGTTGCATACAGTATCTTTTTCCCTTCATCTGAACATTGTAGGCTTGTAGCTGTTAACTGGAGCTCGCTTGTGCCGGGAGCAGAGCCTCTTGCTTTCCTTTGACAAAGACTGCGAGTTCTTCAGGTGCTACCACCATACTTAACCACTTTTGCAAATCTTCACCTTCTACTTTCTCTTTCTCTGCACCAAAACATAATATTGCCATCATCACGGTCAGTCATTTATCTTATCAAATAGACTTATGTACTTACCTTCTAATTGAGCACCAAGCCCTTCCAATACATATGGATTAGCGCGTACAATAGACAGTGCAACATCGAAAATTGGAAAAGAAAAGAACATTTAGATAACTATAGTTGGTTTCAAAAATGATGTTTCTTTCTGTTATATTCTTGTAATGTTATTTAAGATCAAAAATGGTATAAAATTTAACATTTACCAAAAAAAAACTATAGCTGGTTTTTCAAGTTTTTGTAACGATCAAAAACAATCCCACAAATACCGAAGTCGTACACGGACTTCCATATGGTCAATGTCATCAGTTATCTGGAATTGGAGCTGGGGTAGAGAGAGGCTAAATGAATCATTGATGCTGAGCATAGGGTATTCCGACTTTGTCCCAGTTTTCCAGAGTCTAACAGCACTTGGATTCACCAGCTTGCTAGCCTACAATTCACTGACGACAAAAGAATTTATTGACTCCACTCCTAACTCGTTTCCTTGGGATGATTGCTTTGTTTGAGTATGTTTCTGTTTAAGAGTCTTTTCGTCTCCAATCATGAGTCGTTTACATAGAAGAAAATTGGATCCTGTTTGGATTAAGCTTAGTTGTATTTTGTCTAAGTCTAAGTCTGTTTAGTAGTTTCTGTTTTCATGTATTCACGTTTGGTCCTAAATAAACTTAGATAAAAGAAACTGAATGATATAATAGCAAAATTCAATTTGACCAATATGATTATATGAACAAGTTTTGTGCAAATATGAGTAGAGAGATGCTTTTGTGCTAGAAAATATATGTTTTTATAGTGAGTTCATCGTACCATAATCGGTTTCCAAAAAAAGTTATGACTTTTCAAAAAAAAGTAAAAAACTGTTTAAAAAAATAATTTGTTCCCTCGATTTTTTGGAACGTTTAAAGCTTTGAGACTATTTTCTATCAAACAAGACCATATAATATAATACAATATAGGATTCAAATATCCAAAGGAGTCAATAACATAATATTTTTCTTGTTATCTCTCAAAAGTTTTGAGACAATCTTTATATCAAGTATTCATCAAAGAATATTATGTGACTATTGGCTCTTTATTCTTGATCTCTGAGCTTTGGCTAGCCCAATCGAAGCTCCAAGTTTACTCTCAACGATTTTTTTTATTAGACAAATTTACGTAGTAAAGTCTAATAATGGGACATGTTAAGATTGCCTTAAAAGTTTTGACCATGTCATCATTATGAGTCTGAGATTGAAAACGTTTTATTTTTATATGACAATCTGAATGTTACAGCTTAGTATTTAAATAACCGAGAATTTAAGAAACAAATTGTATAAAAAAATTATAACATGTAGTTTGAGTTATTATGGATCACCTAATCAGCTAGTCTAGACAATTATAATTGTTTATTTCTTTTTAAAATCCAGCTATACATTATTAAAAAATATAGATTACAAATACTTTGTTATTTTCTTTTAATAGATAAAACTATACTTTGATTTTTTCAAAAATATGCGTGTGGATATGCATTGCGCAAAAGTCAAAATCGTATGCAAATTTATCGTGCTTGTATTTTGTTAACTCTGATTATAGTCTATTTTAATTTTAACAATTATAGAATTATTTTTAAAAATCTCTAGTCTAATTATAGTTTTAATCTGATATGTAAAATAAAATGAAAAATTTACAGAAGAGGGATAAAATATCTTTTGTATAATTGAAAAGAGTTTTAAAGACTTTAAAAACTAATGAGTTTAATGAATTTGAAAAGAATTTCAGATTGACTTTGGAATTTGTATAGAGTTTTGTAGATTATTATAGATTTTTAATTAGAATATAATCAGAAAATTTTCTAGATTTTATCTTTAAGTATTGGATAATAATTTTGTTTATATTTTTTTTATTATTTACCATTTTTTTTACTTTTCATCTTGTATAAATTATCTCAAAGTTTTCACTTTTCAAAACTTAAAGTACATACTAATTTCTCTATTTTTTGTAATAATAAACAACTTTTTTGATTATAGAAATAACTTTTTTGTAAAAACTTAAATTATAGAAATAACTTTTTTGTAAAATAAACAATTATAAGCAAAAACAAATATCTAATAATTAATAAAAATACTAAATTTTATTTTTTAAAAGACAACATTTTTTAGTAACGGTTATTTAAAAGTATGATAAAAGCATATATGGAATTGGTTAAGTGAATTTGCTATTATTAATAGATACTCGCATATATGGGGATGCTTAAATGTCGCCATGATTGCTGCAATGCAGCTGAAACCCTATATTTTACTAGTGAACTAATGAAGCCAATGGTTTTCATTATTGGATTATTAAATTTGTCAAGATTCGTCCTGACTCTATCCATAACTACACAATATCAATTTGTAAACAGTAGACATTTCAAACTAACGGAAAAAATGAATATATAAAAGAGTTAGAGAGATGAACTTCGTTTTGGTTGATTAATTAAGACAAATGGATGGAAAAAAAAAAGAATAAACTTGGAAACAAAACGTAATGAGAAAGACGGCAGGGCACAATTGTGGCGACATTATGAACTTAGGAAAACCTAAAAATAGAGAGGAAGGATTGGAATACAAAATTTAGACTATAAATTGATCACATAACTTATGGATTAGTATCAGCAAAGTTTGAAGTTTATTAAAGAGAAAGAAAGAAAACTCAAGTTTCTGCAAAAGCAAGGCAAAAAAAAAAGAAAAAAAATGGCAAAGAACCTCAACTCCCTCAACTTCACCGTTCTTTTGCTTGTCCTCGTGATGGCTTCAGCTGGTATTAATTTAACTAAGCTGTGTCTATTGTACTATGCACATTTATTTTAATCATATTGTGGATGATCTTGTTTAATATGCCAAAATGTAGGAATCCTATAAATCCAGGCTGTGGGCGATTGTCCATTTATCCCAAAATGCATTACTCCTAAATTCTATGGAGAGTGTGGGCCGGCCCCATTCCTACCACCATTGACACACAATGATTGCTGTAAGTGTTGCGTAGACAAATATGGTTCTCCTCCAATCTGTGGGGCGGCTATTGAGGGAAGCGACATGCACTGCCATTGCTACTCAAACTAAAGAGGATTTGGAATAACCTCATCATATAATTACCAAGTGTACCTTTTATTTTCGTTCGATGTGAGGACATGACATTTGTGTATGATCAAGTTTCTTTTGCTTCCAAATAAAATCCCCCCCCCCCCCCCCCCCCCCCCCCCCCCCCCCCCCCCCCCCCCCCCCCCCACCCCCAAGTGTATGCTTATGTTTATGTATGTTTCATTCAAATATAAACTTGTTTTGTGTTTGTGTTCTTCATTCCCTTCCCGTCTAGATACGGAGTTAAGCTTATGAGAAGCTGTATATAAACACTTGTGAGAGCATTGATTAACATAAATGAAAAAAATCAGTTTGAAAAAAGCTAATACGGTATGAGAGCACTCCAACTCTTTCATTCACACTTTCGATTTATAATTGTCTTTTCATTTCTATCTCTATTTTTTCGGACTTTTTTCGGAAAAATCTCATATGATTTTATTTCAATGTATCGTGTTTGTGCTTCTTATCATCATCACAATGGGGAAAAACTGGAGCTAAACTCAGAAATTGCGGTTTCTCGTAAGTCCAGTACAAATTCATTGATTACTCCAATTAAAATTAGTTAAAAAACCCTAAAATATTATTGTGTGATCTAAAAAAGAGAGACTAGACCAAGACCTGGTACATCTAGGATTTTGCCTTGATATTTTTCTAGTGGAGCTAGAGATAATTGATTAGAGTAGATTTTGCTTACACTTAATTCTCCAAATTTTTCTAAAAACGGTTTAAAATTGAGAAATTTGGTGGTTGAGTACTTTTTGAGTTTATAATTATGAAAGTGAAGGAAGATGTATGGAAGTCCTGATAGCTCAGCTGCCGAGAGCAAGGATTTGGGACGTGGAAGGAAGAGTGAAAGGTTTTAATCTGGGAAATAGGCGTTTTCAACTCGATTTTGAGCGAGAAAAAGATTTGGTGAAGGTTCTGGCCAAGCGCTCATGCCACTTCAACCGCTGGAGTTTTGCCCTTGAGAGATGGGAACCCTCAACGAGGGACGACTTCCCCTTCACAATCCCCTTTTGGATCAGAGTTACAGGGGTTCCGGTTCATTACTGGAATGATGAAACCTTTAAAGCTATCGGAAAGGCCGTGGGCAGAGTTATGAAGACAGATGCAGAAAACGTAAGGGTCCAGGTTTCTAAATGTCAATAATCCACTGCAGTTCGAACGAAGGGTAGGCTTCCCAAATGGGGATGTTGGCAAAGTGAAATTTGAGTATGAAGGCCTCCATCGATACTGTTATCACTGCAAAAAAACTCTCTCATGAGGAGAATACATGCCCTGCCTTAAGTGCAGCAAAAGAATTAGTTCTGCAAAGTAAAAGCGGCGAGACAGAGGAGATGCGACTAAGAGCTCAATCTTTTACCCCCAGAACTAACATGAATGATAATCAGAAAAGAATTAGATCTCCCCAAAAGGAGGAACGGGGAGAGAAACTATATCAAAATCACACAAGAGAGCTTTTAAGAGGAGAAAACGACAGCTCAAGGTTAAAAACTGATGAAAACAGAGCAGAAGTCTACCAAAACAAGCCAAACACGAGATCTTCGCGCTCTCAATACTCAGAGAGAGTCATCAGAGAGAACCTCAGAACAGAATTTCATCCCACTAATTTTAAAAAGCTGGATCATGGATCTTACAGACTTGCCGTACGGGGAGAAGAAACTGAAAGCGGATATGGGATGAGAGACAAAGAATACTTTCATAAAGAGGTGGGAAGAGTTCGTAATAACCGACAAACGGAGATAACCGAAAGTGACATGCGACATAATCTCAGCGACAGGAGATACCAAAGAAGCAAGGAAATCTGGAGTCGCATTGAGAGGCCGTTAGAAACAACAATTCCGCAAACTCGCGTGCACTCGAAACAGAGTAATCGTCCATACCCGCTTTCGGAGTATGAGAAAACTTGGAAAAGATCAGCCCCAAAAATACAGAGAATCCGATGGGAACCGAAAGCAAAACATGGTGGAGAGGATGGGCTGTCGCGAATCTCGATTCATCAAAGAGATGA